GACAAAGCCAAGGAAGACACAAGGAATGGCGCAAGGGGAGAGCTTGTCCGCAGTGGTATCGCAGACAAAGGCACGAGCACCCCAGACCCGGAAACGCGACGCGTCGCCAACCTTCCCCGTCCACAGCAGTGTGGGCGAGGTCTCCAGCAAGGAGACACGGGGCCAAAGGTTGAGCTGATGCGCGGCGTACCGGACCGCAAACGGCCACAGAAAATGGGGGGCAGCCGCATGGATCATGGAGGTACGAGCGACCTCCATGACTAAGCCAATGCGGCGCTCAGCAACCCCATTCTGCTGCGGAGAGACCGGAAGCGTGAAAGTCTGGCGGATGCCGTGCTCCGCACAGAAGGCTGCCAAGAGGTCTGAGGAGAACTCACCACCTCGGTCAGAGTGCAGACGCAGGACAGGAAAGTCCGTCTGGAACCGCTCGCGGAGCTGGAGACGAGTAGCGCGGATCCAGGGGATCAAAACATCAGGGACATCCCCCTTGCGCTGCAAGGGGAAGACCGTGGTGTAGCGCGTGTAGTCGTCGACAACCAGCAGGAAGTACCGCTCGTGGCCCTGTCCATGGACGCGGGCTGGGCCACACACGTCCAGGTGGAGAGTCTGCAGTGGAGCCTCTGTGGGAGGGAACTCGGAGGAGTGAGGAGCGGCGCGCTGCCGCCCCTCGACGCAAGGAATGCAGGGCGGCGCAGGCGAGGGAGGTAGGGCAGGCAGAGACCTGGGAAGACCAGAAACAAGGAAGCGAGAGTGCATGCTACGAAGGCGAGGCAGGGAGGGGTGACCAAGACGGTGGTGCCACAGGACAGTGTCGTGCGACAGCCGGCGACACTCACACTGTGTAGCAACCTGAGCAGACGCGTGCAACTGGGGAGACAAGAGGCGGAGCGCGACGCAGTGGTGAGGGTGTACAGATTGGACCCTGGCGCACGAGTGAACGTGGCCAGGTGGCGGCCAGTCTGGGAGCACGTGCAAATCGCCACACGCTGCCGGCCAGGGGTGAAGGTGTCAACCCCCGCATCCTGGAGGACAGCGTTACTCACCAAGTTCGTAGAGAACGAGGGGAGGTGGAGACCAGACAGCTCACCAGACGGAACCGCCGGACACGGAAGCACAGTGAAAGACCATGCAAGCACTGGGCCCCCAGAGGGGTCAGCCAGTGAGACAGGAACAGGTGCAGGGAGGGGAGTGACTGTGGTACTGTCGCGAAAGAAACAGCGGGAAGCACCAGAGTCAAGTGTAAAGGTGTGCAAGGCCTGTGCAAGCGCAGTACCAGGGGGAGCAGACTCACAAGCACCTAGTGCTGCATGGGCTATACCAGGGGCTGTACCAGGATCCGGCGGCACACACAAGTAGCAGTCACCCTCAGGACTAACAGACAATGCATACATAGCAGCAAGAAATGCCTCATAGTCAAGATCAAAGATAGGTACGTCACGCCTAAGCAAGTCTGCCCAGTTGGGGAACTCAGGAGCATCAGGAAACTTGGCGCGCCAGGCGTCGCTAAGTCGAGCGAAGCAGCGCTGCTCAGTGTGGAAACCTGTGCACTGGCGACCAGTGCGGGGACCTGTGCGGATAATATAGGGGCAGCGACCAGGACCCCCAGAAACCCCACGCCCGGCATACCAGTCAAAAAGCTGCTGGGAAGTGGGGGTCTGGCGCTAACGCTGCTGCTGCTGCGGCTGCTGCTGGCCCTGACCACCAATGCCACCACCACCCCCTCCTCCCCCACCGCCGCTGCTGCCCCCTCCACCGCTCCCAGTGCCTCCGCCGCCCCCACCACCACCTCCACCGCCTCCACTCCCGCGACCACCCCCACCACCTCCACCTCCCCCGCCGCCTGCGCCACCGCCACCTCCACCGCCACCCCCACCGCCCCTGCCACCCCTGCTGCCCCTGCCGCTGCGACGCTTCCCACTAGGAGCGGAAGTAGCTCCGACCTCCTCAGCACCAAGGTAGTCGTGAGCAGCAGCTGCGGAGGCGTAGGAGGGGGTGAGAGGGGAGGGGGAGCACCCCTCAAAGAGGGGAGAGCGAGGAGTGCCACGAGCAGCACCTACAGCGAGGATGTTCTTCTCTGCTGCGAGGAGGTGCGTCTCGAAGTCGTCAACAGTGAGAGTGGTGGGGTCTAGCGCTAGGAAGTGGTCCCTGACAGAGCTAAGAGTGTCAGGGAGGCGGGTGACGAGGAAATAGAGAGTGAAGTACATCGGGGGGGGGGGGGGGGGGGGGGGTTGCGGCGCAGAACTCGGCTGAAAGGGCGGCACGAAAGCGAGTGTCAGTAGCGCGCAGGTGAGAAACGAGGTCCTCAGCAGTGGTGAACGAGGAAAGATCGGGGAACAGGTATGGTAGCATGAGTCGACCTATGGCTGCACTGGCCGGGGAGGAGTAGCGCGCAACTACAGCGTCGTACAGTGTCTTAGTAGTTCTGTGCTGGCTGAAATGCGCGCGCTCAGTAATCGGCAGGTGGTTCCTAATAGCGAGGCGTGCAGCAGCATCGCGAGTCTGCCACTGGGAGCGTTCGAGAGCAGGAGCATCAGCAGCAGGAGCAACGGCAGTGCCAGACACGTAATCGAACAGGGAAACGCCCTCTTTGGCATCAGTCAGAAGGAACAGCTGGAGATCGTCTAACCACACAGCGAACTCTATGGGGCGACCGTCAGGCTCGAACGCTAGAACGTAAGGCGTCGTCATAATGGCGCCAGGCAGAGGTAGGAGGCAGCAGGCAGCAGACAGGATGCAGGAGGCAGAGGCAGCAGGCAGCAGGCAGCAGGCAGCAGACAGCAGGCAGCAGACAAGAGGCAGCAGGCACCAGGTCACAAGCAAAGGCAGAGGCAGTAGGCAGCAGGTAGGAGGCAGGGGGGCAGAGGCAGGAGGCAGAGGCAGCAGGCAGCAGCAGCAGGCAGTAGGCAGGAGCGGCTTGAGGGTTGCGTGCGGCGGCTTGCTGCGCTAAGCTACGGGCTGCGCGCGTGGCTGCAGGCAGCGCGCGCGGCTGCGGGCTGCATGCGGCGACGGGCTGCGCGGGCTACGGGCCGCGTGCGGCTCCTGGCTGCGCGTGGCGACGGGCTGCGCGCGGCTCCTGGCTGCGCGTGGCGACGGGCTGCGCGCGACTGCGTGGCTGCGCGTGGCGACGGGCCGCGCGCGACTGCGGGCTGCGTGCGGCGGTGGGCTGCGCGGGCGTGGCCTAAATGGGCTGCGCGCGGGCGGGGCCTAAACGGGCCGCGCGAGCTGCGTAAGAGGCGCGCGCGGGGAAAAAAAAAAAGGGGGCCGCGCGCGGGCAGCCAAGGCGCGCGCGAGCAGTAGGCAAGGCAGGTGAGGTGGGCCCTAATCCTAGGTCCTAAACCTAAGGGGTTGTACCCCACAGTGAGTACCCCACTACAGCCTATCTAACTTTAACATACGGTATAAACATATGTTTAACACCTGATACCGTCAGGCTAACCATAAAATCCATCAGTGTAAAAAAAAAACATGCTCTTTTTGCATCAGGGTAAAAATATCAGAAACCTGATTTCGACAGGGTAACTCTGAAAAATCGGCCGCCCATCCGGGTAATCAGGGCATTTTACCCTGATATTTTGGGTCCTGCTAGCCATGTACTCTGAGGGGTACATTCCCTTATTAACCGAATTGCATTGCTACAGTAACCATGACCATTGCTCTTCTTAACAGTTACCATGTTGCATCGCGTAACTATCAGGTGCGGTTACTGGATGGTCGCGAGTCACGACCGTTGACTGACTTCGACTGTTGACCTTCGAGCTATTGCGGTACTGGTACAGACGCCCTGTTTCGTTATGGAGTGGCGCGTTGGTAGAGGACCTTCGGAAATGTTATACGGTAATAACCTTTCAGTTATTCCAACATGCTCTTACATCCGGGGGCTTACGGTAAGGACCTCTAACATTACAGTATAGGGGGACCTTTAACATTCAGTACATTACCGTATTTCATGCAAAACAATCAGGAACATGCAACAGAGGCTAGTTCCTTCTGACCAGGGCCTCAGAAGTCAGGATTTTTACCCTGAATTCCTGAAGTTTGACCCTCGTTTTTTATCGTGACCCTGATGTATCAGCCTTTTTTTTTTAACGACCCTGATGTTTCAGTGTTTTTTTATGTGTAACTCTGTTTTTTCAGTGTTTTGTGTTTGAGGACACTGACGAGTCAGTGTTGCATCGAGTTCGACCCTGAAACTAGAAACGGCGCAATCTGATTGGCCCAAGTGTTGTAGGGAGTTCATCCTGTGATTTGCGCCATGACCTGCTACTTCGGCTGTCAAGCTCCTACAGTACCGCCAGCTGTTTTGCTGCACATGGCATCCTTCGTGCCAGGTGGTAAACTTCTCAAGTTCTGATTGGTTGCCACTAATAACCTGTACCCTCTTGACTGTTTTGGCCTCGCAGCACACAAAGCCAGAGGTACGTGTTTCCCTCCAATGCTGGCATCGTGGTGCTGGTGTGGTGTGCTGAGCAAACCATACTCGATGCTATCATAATTCCCCATACTAGCAAAGAAAATCAGTGTTTATGTTATTTAGAACACTGATTGATCAGTGTAATTCTTTTGTGAACACTGAAAAATCAGTGTTTTTTAGATGATGACACTGAAAATCAGTGTTAGTCCTCAAAGAACACTGAGTGATCAGGGTGCCCCAAAACCAATCTGAGGCCCTGCTTCTGACACGGCTACATTTCCTCTTAAACATGGGACATTGCTACTTGTGTTGCTACTTCTGGCAATGCTGTGTGCTGCCCACCCAACAGAGACTCATGGAAGTCCCTACCAATCAATACGGTAACAGCATGCCGAAGTGAAGTCGTTCACACACCTACTTCCTCACTCCCCTACTCCATACCCTGTACTGCACACCTCCTATCTGCTACAGCCGAGTGCATGCCTCCCCTTCCCTAGAGCCGAGTTCAGGCGAAATCAAGGTCGTCAGGAGCAAGCTGCGTGAGCCAGTTGCTGCGTGCTTTGAGAGTTTGAGATGCCTTGAAAGTCCGCTACAGCCGAGTGCAGGCAAAGTCAAAGTCGTCAGGAGCGAGGCGGGTTAGCCAGTTGCTGAGCGTGCTCTTGGCGTTGAGCGTGTCAGACGCCGCCAGCTCGTACATGGAGCACAGGTTGAGCACCACTGTCTCGTCGACAGCTGTCAGCGGGCTTGCCTGCAATTGGTCCTCCAGCACCTGCACCGCCGTCGCGAGATCTCGGCCGTACATCAGGCAGAGGGCCTGATCGGGAACAAAAGGCAAGGGGATGAAATGGTGGGTGGAACCATGTGAAGTGTAACTGCATGACGATACCACACCAATGTAACTTGGTTACAACACCAAGTGTAACCTGTGACACGCCTTCTGCGCTGCCTGACTCAACTGGCTATCCCACCATGTAACCTGGTTACCACATTGTCTCACTTCGCCTCACCTTGTTGTTGGGAGCGATGGAGTTCGTAGGATCCTACTGGTACTTTCTGTGAACCTCCTTGGCAACAGCAGCAGAGAACAGCTGTAACGCCTGCCCGTGCACCTTGCAAGCTAAGTGACTTTTGAACTGGCTGAATACCTGGCTGTTTTACTGTGACCTCACCTTGTTATTCGCAGCAACGGAGTTGGTGGGATCCTCTTTAGTCACCGCAGTGAACAGCTGCAGCGCCTGCCCATGCTCCTTGCGAGCAAAGTGCACGAGAGCCTTGTTCAGCTGCAACAGCCTCTTCATCTCCCCCACATTTGCTGCTGTCACCCGCCCTGCCCCCACACCCCCATCGCTCCCTCCTCCTGCTCCTGTTGCTCCTGCTCCTGCCCCTCCTGCTCCTGCTCCTGCTGTGTTACTCGCATCTCCTGTTGCTTCCCCTCCTCCCTCCCCCTCCCCCGCCTCCTCCCCTCCTCCTCCCCCACTCCCCCCTTCACTCTCCATCTCCACCTCGCGATGCACCACCATCTTCTCCACCAATCCAAACGCGGCGCTCGCCCCCTCCATGTCCCCCAGCTGCAGCCGAACGAGGCCGTACCGCGAGATCAGGGCGGCGTTGCTTGGCTCGTAACGCAGGAGCCGCTGCAGCCAGAGGAGCGCGGTGGGGTAGTCGCGCTGGGCCAGGTGGTGGGAGACCAGCGCGTGCCGCACTGCCTGCCGCCTGCGCGCCCAACACGCCACCAACGCCGCCTGCTGCCATGCTGCTGCTGATACTGATGCTGAGGATGAGGGTACTGATGTTGATGTGCCCTTAGCGCTGCTGCTGCTGCTGGTGGGTAAGGTTGAGGTGGTAACAGCAGCAGCAGCAGCAGCAGCACCACCCTCCCCATCCTCAGCTGACATAACATCTGCCATGCCTTCTCTTGTCTCTGTGCTCACGCTCTTGCTCATGCTGCTGCTCTTGCTGCTATCTGCAGGTGCTGCTCTCGCCTGTGTGTCTGCCATTTTTGCCTGAACATCCTTCATCTGCCGTCCACGCAGCAATGCACAGACGGATTGAGTCACTCAGTGAAGCATTCTGGAGAGATTTGCAGAATGCAGAATGCGATATGCCAAGTGCAGAGTCCGCAGCCCACTGCACTGCACCCACCTTAGCTGTGCTGTGCAGTATGCCTGCAGAGCGCATAGTCGCTCCAGTGTGAGAGCTGGATTGCCCATGCGGTCGGGTTGCTATAGAGAACACAGAGGGTGAAACGGCACACCCACACCATGCACAAACCTGAGCTCACCACACTGCACCCACCTTAGCTGTGCAGTACGCCTGCAGGGTGCATAATCGCTCCAATGTGAGGGCCGGGTTGCCCATGGGGTGAGGCAGCTCTGCTGCCAGCCAGCGCAGCGCAAAGGGCAGCATGGAGCCTGGAATGGAAACGTGGGGAGGCAATGCGGGGAGGGATGGGAGCAGGGAGAGAATGGGGAGGAGACTCATGCTGCCAGCCAGCGCAGCGCAAAGGGCAGCACGGAGCCTGCAAGGGAGGGGGGATGCGAGAATGGGCGCAGATTGGAGGGGTTGGGAAGGAGAGGATGGGAAGGAGATGGGCGGGGACATAGCATTGCCCATGCGAGGGATTTTAACAGAGTACTCGCCTTTCCTCCCGGGGTACATGCCCGGGTGCGCCTCACATAGGTACTGCGTCGAGTCAAGGGTGCCTTGAATTCCCACGATCTCCCTTCACAAGGGAACCACGTAGCGTAGCACCCACCTTTCCTCCCAGGGTACATGCCGGGGTGGGCCTCGTATCAATATTGTGGAAAGTCGAGGTTTCCCAGCAGTCGAGCTCCTCTGCCGCTGCCCCATACATGCGCAGCGCCAGCACTTGGTAACCGTGTAATGCCAGCTGCTGCACCAGCCCTGCCAGCTTGTATCCCTCCACCACCTTGTCCACTATGCCCTCCATGAGTCCTGCCACTGGTGTAAGCATAGTTACCAAATGGCACATGCAATGCAGCAAGGGAAGAGTCGAGCCGAGGCTGTAGGAGCCGTGCCCTGCCAGCTTGTATCCCTCCACCACCTTGTCCACTATGCCCTCCATGATTCCTGCCGCTGGTTGTTGCAGCATGGAAAACACAGAGCGGAGAGTCAGTATGAGCCAGCCCGCCAGCTTGTAACCCTCCACCATCTTGTCCAGTCCACTATGGCCCGCCACGACCCTTGCCTTGGGTTGGTGAAACAACAATGCATAAAAACAAGATCACATATGCGATGCGGCGAGAGGAGAGTGGAGCGGGCATGCCCAGCCCGCCAGCTTGAATCCCTCCACCACCTTGTCCACTATCACCCGCCATGAGCCTTGCCTCTGGTTGTTGATCAGACCAAAGTGGAGGATGTATGCATGCAATGCAAGGCAAGAGAACAATACAACAGAGCTTGTACACATTGCAGCTAGCACAGCTTACAGCGAGTACACCTTGAAACGAGTACACCTTGTAGTGAGCACAGCTTAAAGAGAGTACAGCAGGAAACGAATACACCTTATAGCGAGCACAGCTTACAGAGAGTACATTCTGAAACGAATACACCTTGTAGCGAGCAGAACTTACAGCGAGCACAGCAAGGCCGTCCAAGGAGGTCTTGACGTCAAGGCTGGACATGCGGCGAAAGCTGACCAGCGGGGATGAGCGCGCTGCAAACGCACTGCTGCTGCTGCCACTGCTAGTGCTAGTGGTGCTAGCGGGGCTGATGTTAGCGGCACCAATGGCGGTGGTGCTGCTGCTGCTAGTAGTGGTGGTAGTGCTGGTGCTGGTGGTGTTGGAAACAGGAGGAGCGCCTGAACCTGACATTAACGCCCCTCCCGCTGCTGCACTCACCCCCACTCCTATCACCCCGCCTGGCAGCCTCCCTCCTGCCCCCCCTGCTGCTCCCCCGGTTGCCCCGCCTGCGGGCTTGGCAGTGGCAGGGGGGCCTTGCGGGGGAGGTCTGTACCTGGGCGGGGAGTGAGTGGGGCGCGATAGAGGTGCGTGTGACTGTGGCGGGTGTGACTGTAGTTGTGACAGAGGCGGGTGGGATAGAGGGTGGGGAAGCGATGGGGGAGGGTGAGATGGAGGGGGGTGGGAGGGCAAGGAGCGTGACGGGGGGGAGTGCGGAGGAGGGGGATGAAACGGCGGGTGTGATTGTAGTGGGTGTGAACCTGGAGGGTGTGATTGCGGGTGGGAGACGGGAGGGGCGGAGAGAGGGACGCACACGGAGAGCGGGGAGTGCGGCGCAGGCCCGGCCGGGCCAGGCGCAGGCGCAGGGGCGCGGAAGGGCGGATGGACGGCGCCGGCGGGAGGCGGGGGTTGGGGGACTTTCGCTGGTGCGCGTCGAGCGCGTGCGGCGCGGAGGGGCGGAGCGGAGACGAGTGCGAGTAAGACATCATGTGGGCGGAAAACCCGCTCGGGTGATGCGCGCCCGGTCGCTGTACCGGATCGTGCTTATAATGAGGATCTGACGCAAGGTGCGGATCAGCTTTCGTGGGAGATCTGGGTCCATGCGAACCGCCTGCAGTCATTGGCGAGGAGTGGTAACCAGCGCTGGCGACAGTTTGAACGCTAGGGGACCCACTCCGAAACCCGGATAACCCGGATTGATCGAACCCTAATCCACTCCCCGCGGACGCCGCCACCGGTGGATGCGGGAGGCGGAGAAAGCGGAGTCTCCGCCCCCTGCGCCATTTGCCCCATACGGTCATTCCCGCTTTCCCCCATCTGTCGCCTGCGCTTCCGCAGTTTCCCCCAACGCCTGCGCTTCCCCGCTTCCTCCCAGCGCCTGCACCTCCCCCCAGAAATCCATCCCCGCATCCGCACCCTCCCCCGCCCTCCGCCTCCCCCCAGAACGAATCGCTGTTTTCCGCCGTAGACTTTCCGCTCGCCTCCAATGCCCGGTCTGACAACGTTTTAGTCTCCGCGACGCTCGCCGTGAGCCCCGGATTTAGTGACGTTCTGGCCTCCTCCGCCGCAGAAGACGGCGGGTTCTGCGCTGAGAGGAAACCGCTGGTTCCTGACTGGAAGTCCCCCCAGTCGCCCTCCATTGGCGGGAATTCATAACAAGAAACCTACTGAGGAATCCCACTGAGATTCTTATTTTACCTTGAACAGCTACCACTAGGTGAAAATAAGTGTCACTGCGCTAGTGATGCAGGAAACTGGAACTAATCTGGTACATACGAGATTCTCGGTTCTGCTCCAGAAAAATTGGATTTGAGTGGTGGTCGCTTTTTGACACGAGCTCTGGGACTGACACGAATTTCGTACTGTGCCAGGGAGGCAGGAACTTCTAGTACGGTGTCAGCGATCACGAAACCAGGGTAACAATACTATCGCTCAGCGACAGTCAGTTACACGACTGCATTGGAGTTTCTGATTTCGCGAGCGCCAGCAGATCATGAGACCCACTGACGGCTCTCAGACAAATTTCGCATATTTCGTTTGTTTTCCAGAACACAACCGCAACAGTCCGAGATGGTTACGTTTAGCTGTTCGCGGTGGTGTGATCGTCCAAATCCCGAAAACGCAGACACTTGTGCCTTGTTGGCAGTGTCGCCTAAAACAGGCTGACACGTTTTTTGCGGTAATTGTGCCAGCCTGACACAAGTGCGACAATTTCAAGGCGATTCCTGAGACAACGGAACCTGCAACCAATCAGGTTCCAGAATGACATCCGCCGTCGCGTCAGTGGCTACTGTGGCTGCATCCTGCGCGGAATTGACGCGCAGAGGTAGCGGCAGAGGGAGCAGCAGAGGTAGTAGCAGCAGCGGGAGCTTAGCGTGCAGCAGCAGGAGCAACGCCAGCGCGAGTTTTGAGTCTGCCGCTACGCGCTGCGCTCCCGCCGCTTTTTCTCAAATAAGCCTCGGCGCGCGTCTGCTGCGCCACTCGGAGCGGCGATGCGTGGTAGTTGCGGCAGCGGCGGATTCGACGGGCGTAGAATGGGACGATCAGGGGCCGTCCGATGTGAATCCGACGGACCTGACTGATAGCGAGGATGAGAGGGGGAGGGACGCGGGGTGGAGGGGAGGGAGGAGCAAGGAGGAGCGAGCGCAGAGCGACAGCAGACAGAAGATCTCCAATAAAATCGCTCCCATGTATGACGACGTGAGTCGCGTGAGTCATGCGAGTCATTTGAGTCATTCGAGTCATGCGAGTAAACTGCGTCTGTGTGGCGTCTCCCTTCTCCTGCTGTCCTCTCCATCAGAACCACACAGAACCGCTCTCACACGCATACGTCTCCATCTTATGCAGGCAGGAGACGTGTCAGTCATGCTCCATCATGCTCTTGGCTCCACCACCGACCACGTCTTCCCCCTTACCCCTCCTTTCCTCTCCTGGTACCAAGGGGTTCAACCTAGGTCAATTTCTGTCGCAACTTCTACCGTACGTGGTGGTGGCGACGGCGGTGTCGGCGCTGACGTGGCCGGCGACGTTCTCGTGGTTCAGCAAGCGGTACTACGCGCCCGCACTGGGCGGCATCATGCTATCCATCGGCGTGCAGCTGTCCGTCCAAGATTTCAAGGCCGCCATTGAAAAGTAAGATCTCGCACCGTGCGGCTCGACTGGCCTGGAATGAACTGACCAACTCTTTTCGTTCTGCACCGTGCTTCTCTCTTCTGTGGGTTATCTGGGTTTAATTCTTCCAACGAAATTAAAATAAATGCCTACTCGCTTGGCTCCGTCAGCCTGTCCCTGAATCCCGTTCGTCAGTCTGTCTGCTCTCTGCCTCTCTGGTTTGCTCTAGCACCGGTGCTCACTGCTTTCCCCCCCTTCTCCCCTCTCCTCCCGCTCTTCCCCCCGCCAGGCCTGTGCCCGTCGCCCTGGGACTCCTAGTGCAGTATGCCGCCAAGCCGCTAATCGCGGCCGCCATAGCCGCCACCTTCCGCCTGCAGCCCGCGTTCGCCGCGGGCTTCCTCCTCACCGCCAGCGTGTCCGGCGCGCAGCTCTCCAGCTACGCGTCCTACCTGGCAAAGGCTGACGTGGCGCTCTGCATCGTGCTGACCAGCCTCAGCACTTTCGCCTCCGTGGCACTCACGCCCATCCTCACCTCGCTGCTGATTGGCTCAGCCGTCCCCGTCGACCTCCTAGCCATGTCCCAATCCATCCTGCAAGTCGTCATCCTCCCCGTCTCCCTCGGCCTCATCCTCAACACCTACGCGCGGAAATTTGTCGACCAAATTCGACCAATCATGCCGCTGCTAGCCATAGTCTGCACTTCTCTCTGCATAGGCAGCCCTCTAGCCATCAACCGGTCCCAGATCGTCTGCCTAAGCGGCCTCCTGCTGCTCCCGCCGGTCCTCGCCTTCCACCTCGCGTCCTGCGCCGCTGGGTTCTGGTCCGCAAAGCTTCCTGGAATGGGGCAGAGCGATGACGTGGCGAGGACTTTATCTCTATGCGGTGGCAGAGCAGCGTTCTGGCCATGCTGCTGGCATCGCAGTTCCTAGGGTCCACCCACACTGTGCCGGCCTCCGTATCTGTTGTGCTCATGTCCATCATTGGGCTCACCCTGGGAAGCTTCTGGGGGTCGGGAAGGAAGCTTCTGGACTGGAACATGGCTGGGCCGGTTGTGGGGGCCCAGGAATATGCTGCTCCTACTGACGCGTAGCGGGGTGGGCAATGCCAGGGTATACATTAGAGAATGACCGGAGTTCTGCAGCGTTGTTTGCAGGATAGCTTATCGCAGCTGGACAGGAGAGCGCAAACTGGAAGGTGGACTGAAGACAAGTGCCGGTATCGGGAAGGAGCCCAACTGTAGATCTCGTGCTTGCCTTTCCAATCGAGTCGAAGTTACATGGGGTCGTCTGTGAAATTCTCGCGCGCGCTGGGAGATACACCCAATCTGACTCACATCCAGCTCCTGACAGCTCCTGACAGCTCCTGCTGACTGGACCCGCATCCAGTGCAGGGTCCGAATGTGAAGGGAACCGAATCTGCAACACATCCGCCTGCTAAAGTAAAAATCGTTACAGCATTTTGAACACATTTCAAAATTTAAAGTTTACGTGCGCTTATAATAAAACAAGTTCTTTCAGGGGGTGCGCTTATAATCGAGCAGCGGATACCGTATAAGTGCCATGCGCCAATTAAAAGCGCCAGGCGCTTATCCGAGGGTGGCGCTTATATCCGGGGTATGACGGTATGTTAGTTGCTGCCTGTCACGTGTAGTGTTGGTGGCCATTCAGGCCTCTCGATATCAGGGTAAAACACCCTTATGGCCCTTACTATAAGGATGGTTTAGGTGATCACCCTTGTTTTTTAAACTTGTATTGAGAAAGCTTGCTTTCTTGTTTTTATCATTTGGCATCGTTCTCATTGCAAATGGCATATTACAACATATCCATCGAGTTCTAACACAAGCTAGTACATGCAGAGAATACTAGCTAAAATGTACCGTGTCCAAACGGCCTTAGTAGGCAGTCGATGCTGGGGTGGGTGGTGGGAAAGTTGAGTGAGCCGTTGGAAATAGAGAAACGTGGGTGGAGGGAAATGAGCTCCAACCCACGGTTTTTGTAGTTGGAGAAGGGCGTTTAGCGCGCTTCGACGATGCCAAATGTGCAGTACAAGCAGCTTCGCTTTCACAATACACAATTTAAAAAACACAATGTGTGTTTAAAATTTATAATATTGAGAAAGCTTGCTTTCTTGTTTTTATCATTTGCCATCGTTCTCATTGCAAATGGGGCCTCTGAGACATGGGCAGCGGGGGTTTCCGGTTGCGTACGAGTGCCTCTGCGTGTTGCTCCGAGGACAATGCAAGTGTCGGGTTCTGCAGGATGCGCGATGCCTTGATGAGAGGTTCGACGTATGGCGTGACGTACATTTCCTTGGCTGTGTCACTTCGCCACCTGCCCAGTCTTTTGAAGATTCTGTCTGGTACACCGGTGTTGGCTGCCACTGTGGCCGCGCCTTTTCGGAAGGAATGAGTGCCGAGCTGCTGCTCTCCAAGCCCAACCTTTGCGAAGGCTTCCTTGCACCAGTTCCGGATCGTCGTGTATGAAGGTGGCCTGGCCTGGCCCACGCTGGTTGAGGCATGGCCGAAGACGCGGATCAACGACCCCTCCGAGTGCGGGCCGTAGCCAGCAAGTTGAATGAAGCGTCTGGTGCAGCGCACGGGGCAGCAAGGGTCCGCCGTTGCCGCAATGGGTATCCATGTTCCGTGACCGGCCTGATCCGTCTTGGAGTGTGGTATGAGGATCCACATGACATCGTCGTCGAATTGGATGTCTTGCCACTTGATAGCCACGAGGTCGGAGTATCGCAGAAATCCCGAGTACATGAGGATAGGGATCAGCCCTTTCTGGAATTCCGCCGGATTGTCAGACAGCAGGTAGCTCGCCGCCATGTCTCGAACTTGTTGGATCGATACGGGCTCCTTCAGACGAGTAGGGCGAGG